GACGTGTGCTCTTCCGATCTTAATTCGGGTTTATAATTGTTCGATGTGAACAAAACTGTATATCTGAGTTGTGCTAGCTTAGCGCGAGTCAGATATACAGTATTGTTTAAATCGAACAATTATAAACCTGAATTAATGGACTTAGAATTCTTACGGTAAGGGCGCGGTCAAGAGTAAAGTGCCCTTTATATCGTTATTCTAATGAATCGGAAGGTTATGTTGACTTGTGCTAAGCTAGCACAATTTAAATATGTAATTTTGTATTATTAAAATAACTGATGCGAACGTAAACGTTAATTGTATGTAGAATCGTATAAAATTATTTTTTGTCATAACTTCTTTTGTTATCACTATTTAAAAGTAAAACTTTAGCACAATGTTAGCACAACTTGGCACAATTGAGAAAATTAAAAAAAAACGAAAATGAGGGCTGATTAAAAAAAGTCTTTTTTTAATTTTTTGACGCATTTTTCACATTACAGGTTTAATATTCTAGCACAATGTATCACAAACCTAGCACAATTCAGCACAACTGTCGAAATTATTTAATTCTAAAAGTGGGGGGCTAACTTAGAGGTGATTTATAGTGATATGTATATAATCAAGAGCGTTCGCGAACACAACGTGCTAATATGATAATACTTTAAAATAAAACATTTTAATACTATTGTATTAATATTTATTTAAAATGTTATGTAAAATATTTATTTTGGTTTTACAAGGATAATTTTGATCATCTCTTTCGCTTAACCGTTATAAAAATATTAAAAATATATAAATGTTTTATGTTTCTACATAAATACACATGTTTACATGACATGTTCTTTTACCGCGTAATTTCTTTGGCTTACGCAACATATCATCGAATTCTATCCAGTTGGTACCATTACGTACATATGCAGTGTAATGACCAACTGACGTTTGAGACGTTTGTCCGTAGTACACAACGCATCCAACATGAGTGTAATGTTGCTCATTTAACTTAATGGATATTGGAATGTCGTTCAAAGCAGTTGTGAGCGAAGATTCGATAAATAGTTGTGAACCGTATGATACGTTCACAGAACGTTCTTTATTACATTTGCTACATGTAAGTTTTAAAACTTTTCCCTCCTTTATTGCATCAATAATTTTTGCGTAACCGTGTTTATTTAATATTTCTTCATTTATCGGTAAGATGCATTTCTTAACAATTTTCATGTTTCCACATATTTGACATGTGCATATTTCGACATAGCTATGACTTTCTTGGAATATATATTCGCATAAATTGACAATGTTTGATAAGGCGTCTATTGTTACAATGCCAGGAGTTACCGTATCTTGTAAAAAACATGTCACACTTTTCAAAAGTTCAGCTCGCATTTTATAAATTTTTGTATTTGGACCTAATTGTACAAAACATTTTATAAATTTAAAAACGTCTGTTGTGGCTGTATCTACAATTCCTTTAAATTTATCGTATACGCGGCGAGAATTTGCACAATGCTGTCAAAACCACATGTATTTTTAACGATTACGTTCGTAAATCCTATTTTCAAAACAGAAGAAATATTCCCATTTTGTAATACATCTAGCGTAACATGGTTTTTTGTAATATTAAATGTATCCCAACCAGGACACGAATCTAGATAAAAACGTTTAGTTTTTTTACTATCGTTCTTATTTCGCCAGTTTTGTTCCACCGCTAACTCACAAGGTTCTTCATCTGATTTGTCAGAATTTATAGATTTTATTTCTAATTTCGGACTTTCGGATTTTATAACATTAATTTCTGTTAAAATTTGCTTTGGCGTCTCGTAATGCGTATTTGACATAGATGGTGATAACGATCTGTTAATTTCTGACATAGCTAATTTTGCTTTACCAGAGAAAGGTTGATGTACCGTTAAAAATTTATCTATTCGCATTGATTGCGAAGTGTACTTTAATAACCTGTACTTTATATCGTTAAATTCAGACTCAACTGCAGATGAACTCGCATTTATTTCGCCAAATCCAAATATTGGTATCATTATTCCAGAGTATATGGGGAAATATGGTAACAAAGATTTAATTTTTTTCGCCATTGCTGGAAAGTAATATGGATTTATGTTTACACCATTAGTAGCGTTATGCAAATCATTAACGCAACTATCGAAGAACGTATTAATCCAGATAATCATTGCATTATTATCAGCAGAAATTCTGCTGATAATAATGCAATGATTATCTGGATTAATACGTTCTTCGATAGTTGCGTTAA